AAATTTTAGGTATCTCGCGACACGAAGATTGCGGTGCAATTTGCCTATTTTATGCACAGTTCGCGAATAATGATCGAAAGTAGAACACGTGACCGCAGTGCAACATTGTTCGTACCACGACAATACAATCGGATGTTTTGTTAAGGGAATAATGGAGCGCGTGGCCTATACGCTAATGAAAAGGTTGAACCTTTGAGCACGCACACATCGAACGTGCATCGTACGCACGTATCTACGGTTCAGTGGTGCTCATATTCTGTATTTTGGAAAAGCGTAAAAGGGTCAAGTTTACGGTCGGGTATGTGTTACACATTACAGTAGGTAGTTCCCGTTTTCGACAGTCCTGTTCAAAAGTCAAATCTAATGTCGCGGTAGAAAAAATTATATGCTTAACGATACTCGCACTGTCTTTTAACGTTTACATTACTCGTACGACACAACAAACAAGAACTTTTTTGTTTTTATTAAACGAGCAGAGAAAATCGGCTGATGCGTCGGCCAAACTTTTGACCGATATTGTACGTTTCAAAACAAGTCTCAGAAAAATATATAACAATTTATAATTATGTATTGTGAAAACGGTAAAAACTAATTTTTTTTTCAAATATTTGTAAAATGTTCCTCTATAATATAAGTTGTTTTTTTGTAAAAATTTATAGAATCGTTTTGAAATTAAAAACAAAAATAGACCGTTTGGATGTATTAGGGAATGTATGTTAATAACGCCCACTTTGAATACATATCTCGCTTCACAATCGGCCAATTTCTTTAAAAAATTGCGACAGTGATTATAAATCATTATTGTTAACTTTTCATTTAAGTTTTATATTAAATTCTATAGAAAAGTGGTTTTGCACGAGAACTACCTTAAGTTATTCGTTCTTTTTTTTTTTTAATTTTTTCTTTCTAATTCCCTTCTCTCTCTCTCTCTCTCTATCTTACACTCCAGTTTTTGATTTGTTCTTTTTCGCTGAACTGGTTACACTAGTTCAGAGTTTATCTTTCATCCTTCTATTTAGAATGAAAAAGATGAACTCTGAACTGGTGCAGCTAGTTCAGTGAAAAAAGAACAAACCATATTATTTTACATTGCATATTCTTCACATTACATGGCAATTACTAATTACCCACGCATTGCAATGATAAATGTTTATGTCGCGCGCGCGTGAGAAAAGATTTTTAACTCTACATATGTATATACGTAGTAGGATGTTTCATACATTCTTTATTATCTTGCAAAACGCTCGATGCATAACTCATTTCTATTATGGATATCAATTTGAGTATGTAGCGATGCGTGGAGAATTATTTGTTTTTATTATGCATAGAATAAAGTGGCCAAATATATATACATACATATATATAGATGTTAAAAAAAAAATATATATATATATATATATTTTTTTTTTTTTTTTTTTTTTTAAAGCACGGTTTGGCGATGTTTGACGGAACAGTTAAAAAAGTGCAAGATTTCGTTTTGTAGAGATTAGACAATTCTTGCGAGAGTTGCAGAAATTGTGTCCGAAGGTTATCTGTAGAGTGTCGTATTGTGAAGTTATCGTAGAAACGTTTTGCGCACATTTTCAAACCGTAACATTCGTCGAGATCCACATTCTTGCACAGACAGTCGAGATCCAAAATTAAAATCATACGGTAGTAAGCGCAAAAAAACCAAAAAAAAAAGAAAAAAAAAAGGATACTCCTCGAGCTCGAGTAAGAGAAAAAAGAGAGCGTTTGTAAGAGAGGACACTTAGCTTCCGAAAAAGATATTCCATACGTATAATAGGAATATATTCTTATGTACAAAAAAATAGATGAAACGTTCGCGTAAAAAGCGCATTTATTGTAGTTCAAAATTTTCGTGAGTGTCTGTGTGAAGATTTTGTGAAAGAAGATAATTTTTTTTGGAACAAGTGTTTATTTTCTCTGATTTTTTGCGCACGTTTGTTTATTTTTTTAACAACAATTGAAGATGTTTCAACGTCGCGATTATTTGATTCTCAAAGTTCTAATTATTCGACGACAGATATATATATAGTTCTCTGATCTAAAGAAACATTTCTTGTCGCAAAAAGTCTTCTCGGATCTTATTGTGTGCAACTTCGTATTGTGCGCAACGTTAAAATAAGGCTATGAAAAGTAAAAGTGATATATGTGCGTGGATATATCGTATACATGCAATATATATCGATGATAATACATTATTAATGTCAAATGAGTATCATCGTCCTACGTGTGCGCGCAAGCGTATCTATTATATATTTAACATCCCTCGCGCGCCAAGGTCAATGTCTGAGTTTTGAGCGTCTACTTTAAAATGCTCGCGCGGAACAATGAGGTCTGGATGTCCACAGGTCTACGGCAAAAGTGCCACTGTACCACCGTTATACGGACACAGAAAATGTGCACATTTGCAAGTCCTGATGTATATAAACGCTACATACATATATGTAACTCCATGTATGTATTGTGCAATAGTCCAATGTGCGCGCGCGCGCACACAATGACAGAACAGAAGATAGAAATCAAAAGTGCGATTACCATTGAAGAGCAAGGACAACTTTACACACGCGACGCGGTTCTCTCGAGCATATATCTCTTATTGTCGCTATTACTCATTGTTTCTCCGTCCACACGTGTGAGCATCGAAGATGCATCTTCGGAACGAGCCAAGCCCGTAAGTCGGGATTGTGATTAAGATTCGTTACTTCGATCGCGGATTGTAATGTCGAAAAACGAATTTTTTTTTCTTTCGAACATTAAATACCATAGGATATAATAATATAATACTTATAAAACTTTGTTTTTTTTTTTTTTTTTTTGTAATGAACAAATTGCAAATTGTGTTTTCGGCTCAAATGTGATTTTGTACACGGACAAAAAAATAGTTTCTATCACAGCTAATTACGGTTTGCTGAAACTGAATTTGCTTCTGTAGCTATAAAATTTCCTATTACATAGAAACAGTTTGCTGAACGCGCAAAACAAATCGGTAAAACATTCAAGACATTGTTTTGGTTCAAAATACACGAAAAAAAAAAAAAGTTTCTATCACTAATTACGGTTTGCTGAAACTGAATTTGCTTCTGTAGCTATAAAATTTCCTATTATATAGAAACACAAACTGTGAAGCAAATTCAGCTTCAGCAATAAAGTAATTAACTGTGATACAAACTATTTTTTTTTTTTTTTTCGTGTATTTTGAGCCAAAACAATGTCTTGAATATTTTACCAATTTGTTTTGCGCGTTTTGCGAACGAAGTAAAAAAAATGTAGTTTAAAGATCTTCTTCAAATGGAAAATGCTACGTGAGAACCAAACCGTGCTCTATACACGCATTGGTAAAAAGTGACTACAAGTGTGAAAACTTCTTGTTGCAAAAGTGCGCGCGCAAAAATAGTATCTGCGGTGTTATCAGGCCGTTATTGAAAGTTTGTATAACTTTTGATCGCGATATGAACAAAATCAAAGCAAAAAGATCTAGACACATTGAATTCTGGACGTTATATATATATATGTCCGTTGCGTGGAATGTGTCAATAAGTAAGTGTCGCAATAGAGTGACCTTTTGCAGAGGCGCGCTATTGCGGAAAATCGGAACAGGACCCGATAAAATACGATACGAACCCTCGCACACATTCTTCGCGCCGACTCTACTTCGATATCCGTTCGATATGTACCGTCGATATTGTCCGTACCGTGACACAGCACGCTCTCGGTACCTCTGGTGCGCGTATAACTCTTGAAACGAGCGATTAGTTATCAGCAGCAACCAATGCGAAACACGAGATCTACGAAAGGAGAAGGCTTAAAGCCGGATTTATTCATGGATCACCACAAGCCATGTGGATAATTCTGTCTGTCTATCTCTCTATCTCTATCTCTCTCTCTCTTTCTCTCTTTCAGTCTGAAATATCCACTATCTCACTCGCACTAACTTTTCCACGTGTTTCTCTCGTTGTGAAACCAGTAAGCCAGCAAACAAGTCAACGTGTACCGGGGGGAGGGTTTGAGTTAAAATATTGCCGATGAACGAACTGCTTGCCGTGAGATCAAGATACCGAGAATATGCTTAAGAAGAGAGAACTTGATAGTGGTGCAACGCTTCCCATCGGGACGACGGCCGCCGTCGTCGTCGTCGCGAAAACCAAGCTGTCTACAAGAGAGAGAACTGCTAGATGCAATATGCGTGGCACGTGGCACAGCGGATTTATTCTTAGCTCGGGATTTTAAACGTGCCATCTGAAATTCTTTTCTCAGAAACAAAAGAATTTCAGACGAGCGCACTTTTGCATTATTGGATACTTTCAAGAACATCTGCTGCAGAGAAAGTTTTACTCGAATAGTATTGAGAGAGAGAGAAAAAAAAACAAAAGAGAGAGAAAGAGAGAGAAAGAAAAATCTGCAATAACCGTTATATTATCTCATACCATAGATATTATATAAATCGAACGACGATCGAAATGCATAAAGATAAATTTTAATATACACGAGATATATATATATATACACAAGGTTGTATATTATATATTGTTTCCTCTTTTCCATATAATTAAATTTCCAACATCTTTGTTATTTCGATTAAGCAAGTTTAACGCGATAATATAGATAATAGCTTTAGAGGAGAAAACAGGGTCTCTCGAGATAGCTCGGGTTATTGCTTGGATTATTTGGCAAGATAATAAGCGACGTTTGATAGCTTTTGCTTTCCAATTTCTCGGAAATAATAAGCCAATCCTATTATATAGCCGGATGAGAGAAAGAAAGCGATGTAAAAGAAATATGTAATAATCAGATAAAGATTTCTCGTGATAAGAATATAATGTCAATCATTCAAAGCAAAATTTCCTTTTGTCGGAGACGAAAGATATTTTGATACCGATCTCTTAAAACACACTCACCCTCACATAAAAGTAAAAAAAAATCCAGTCTTCCTTTAGATAATATCGCTGCATGTTCATCATTTTTTATGTCCATCATTTCGTTACATCTCATTGTAGGTAACGACGATACCGAACGAGGGCGAAGACAATTTTAAAATGCCAAGGGCTTCCGTGGTACACATGGCATCGACAGCAACAAGACCGCAACACATGTCACAAGTACATATATTTTGTCTCTCATTTTAATTAATTTAAGTTTTCGAAGTTTAAACGATAAAACAATATGGATATTCTCTCGTTCGCCGATAGAATGGTGAGAATTTCGCGAGCGAACGCCGCATGTATATATATATATGTGTGAACTATCAAAACCTTATGGTGACAGAGAGACGCAAGAACGGGGAGGAGTTAAGAAGAAAGGAGATATATAAAGTTAGCACATCCCTCCCGATAGTAAACTTTCGTAAGTCTCTCTGTGTGAGCGGAGTTTCTCCCCTCCCCCCCCCCCGCGCCTTAAAACTAAATTATTCAGAACTATTTGATCCCAATTTCCGACGTAAAGTTTCAATGTAAAGCACTCCATTTTTCAAACTCAAATTTTGAAACCGGTAGTAAAATTGAAACTAATTTTATCAACGCGTATAAAATGTGTGATAGAAAAAAACTCGCTCTCAAAAGAGAGCGCGGAGAAACTCAAATCGGAGAATTATAGACATTCGATTTGTGCCGGACTGCTAACTTTTTGTACCTTCTGAAGAACAAAGTGAGAAACAATCTGTCGAAGACAGATCCAATCTCGCCAGCTCACAAGCACACAGATTTCACGATCGCGCGAATATCACTGGTCACGATTTTTTATGTTTTTTTTTAAGGTTAATTATAGCCCGTTATACAGAATCAATGCCAAATAAGTTGTTTTACGTTTCGGTTTGTTTATTTATTTTTTTTTAAATAAAGTATTCTTTGACCAACAATGTTTACGCATAAGAAGTGAACTTTATAAATATTATTTTAACTTTTTAAATATTATTTATTAATTGAACTTTATAACTTCGGTTTTAGCGTGCCAAAATTATTTAAAGTCACTCGGGCAGCACTCGTGTACTTAAAAATTTGCAAACATGTGTAATTTTATTCAGGGAACATAGAGTATCCTTCGGTGCTATTTGTTTTTTACTTTTTTTTTACTGTTTCGCAAAAAGTGAAATTCTTAAACACGCAATATACACGATATGTCCGCTATGTTCTCTCTCTCAACAATTTCTAAAGTTTGTTCAATGAAAATTAATAAATACGGCTCGAAGGAAAATTAAATCAACGTGAAAACCAACGAGCCTAAGATCCCGGGTGAAGGTGGACGTGAAATTAAATAACAGCCAATGCGATGAATTGAACATTATTGATATATTATTTGAATTTTCAATTTAGACACCGATACATTAGATACAGCCCACCATGTTTGTTTGCTTGTCTATGTCATTGACCGTTCGGTTGTTGTTGTTCGCTTGCCTTCGCGCTCGTTATCGACTCACGTATTGACTTGCCTGCCTAGGTTACGTACATGTGAATTTTAACATTTTGTTACTGACATTTATTATTTTCTATGTATTCATTTTTATTCTGTTCTTATAATCCTTTCATATTTTTTTTTTAATAGTGTTGAAAATGATCTACATTAAAATGATCGAAACGTCCACTTAATTGCATTGGCTGTTATTTAATTTCACGTCCACCTTCACCCAGGATCTTAGGCTCGTTGGTTTTCACGTTGAATTTAATTTATTCAATAATATCGCTCTCGTGGTACAGCCCTCCCCCCTCTCCCCGCGATTAAAATAAACAAGTTTCAAAATTCACTCGCGCGCGCATTATTATTCCTGGCGATAAGAAACCTGTTTGGCGCGTTAGAAGATACAAAAACCCAATTATCTCTCGCACGCGCGTGAGATTTGTTAAAATGCTCGCTTTACCTGTCGATAGGTTCTGGCGACTCTGGCGTTATCTATGGGTACTCTTTCATCCGGTCTGGCCAAGGGTTACACCTCGCCAGCGTTAGACTCCATATTGGATAATCAATCGCCTCATCTTTATCAGTCGTCCAACAATGACACTTGGTAAGAACTCGCGTGCTCGAAGGTGTGAATAAATTAGATATTAAAAAAAAAAAAAAAAAAGTGCGACGGACACGTTACGCACATCGACACACAGAAATGCGGACAATTAAATTCATTCAGTTTGCTGCGGTTTTATTCGAGCGTTGCGATCTCTTAATAAGTTACTTCCGGAAGTACATGTGACATACATGTTACTTTGACGTTTTATACGCGTGTATATATATATATATATACACACATATATATAACAGGAACCTTATTGTGAGAAGCAGTTTGCGAATAACAGCTAACAGGGCGCACCCCGAAGAGCGATTGCGATTGTACTTGATGTCCGCCGCGACACTCGGGAACAATAATATTTTAATATTACAGGAAAATATCTGCCCCGAAACGTCTGGATTACATCGGTATCATAGGATAAATATAAACGATTTGTTGTAGGTCAGCTTTCTCGGTTACGCAGCAGGAAGCTTCGTGGATTGCGTCGTTGTCCATGCTGGGAGCTTGGTTGGGCGCGATGATCGGCGACTGGATAATGCGGAGAGGTCGTCGGCTGGCTCTGCGCGCGACATCCTTACCCTTAGCGGCGGCTTGGATCGTAACGGGCGTTGCGCCGTGCGTCGAACTGGTGTATGTCACCAGTTTTATCGGCGGTCTGTGTTGCTCGGTCATCACCATGGTGGCTCAGGTAGAGAGAGGATCAAAAACTAGACTCGTGTCTTGTAGTAAGGCGACAATATTTGACAGACACACGTTGCAATTTCTTTTTCGACAGGTGTACATATCGGAAATCTCGATGCCGAGCATTCGCGGATGTTTGTCAGCAATGTTGAAAGTATTGGGTCACATCGGAGTCTTGCTATCGTACATAGCCGGCACGTACTTGAATTGGCGACAAAGTGCGCTGCTAGTGGCCGTCGCCCCGTCTATGCTCTTTCTGGGGATCCTTTTTATACCCGAGACGCCGTCGTATCTCGTGCTGAATGGCAGAGACGACGAGGCTGCCACCAGTTTGCAATGGCTGCGCGGAGAACACGTTGATGTGCGACACGAATTGGAGGTAATTTCAAATAAATGTTTTTTTTTACAGAAAATGACGCGCGAAATATACTTCTCCTCCAAATAAATCTTTCTTCTCTCTTCTTCTTTGTGTTTCTCGCTCTGAATTGAATTTTCACTGCGATCAATCAAATAAATCGCGTCAACCCGTCGCGAAATTTAAATTATTCTACGAATCGAGTAAACAGATAAAATTCTTTAACCCAATTTGTCCGTATACAATTCTGTTCTGATTGTCAACAATTTTATTGTTCGACAATTTTATTAATCGAAACTTTTATCACATTTTTACAGTTTTGAGTTGTGTTAACTTAATGATAATTACACGTTCATCCAGGTTATCAAAACGAACATTATGGCTTCAAAGGCGAAGCAATACGAGTTGAGTTTCCGAAACAGCGTGTTCACGCCAAGATTGTACAAACCCATCGCAATCACATGCGGTCTGATGTTTTTCCAACGATTTTCCGGCGCAAACGCATTTAATTACTACGCAGTGCTTATATTCCGTCAGACTCTTGGCGTGATGAATCCTCACGGAGCGACCATAGCGATCGGATTTGTACAACTATTGGCCGCTTTATTGTCAGGTACTTTTTTATCGCACTAATAAATTTTATGTTAACGTTAAAAAAAAAAAAAAAAAAAAAAAAAAAAAAAGAACGTTGTTTCGTAAATTAAGTTTTTTTTTTTAGCAAAAAGATATGTAAATGTTTTTCTTTTGTTTATTTCGATCAAACAAATAAGATCTTCTCTATCGTTTTGCAGGATTTTTGATCGACATCGTCGGCAGGTTGCCGCTTCTGATAGCCAGTACCGTTTTCATGTCTCTTGCGCTAGCCGGTTTCGGCAGTTACGCGTATTACGTGTCGCAAACGCAAAATTTAGGTTACGTGGACTCGACGGTAGTGGGCCAGCACGACTGGATACCACTGCTCTGCGTGCTCGTGTTCACGACCGCTCTCGCCCTGGGCATATCGCCAATTTCTTGGCTATTGATTGGCGAATTATTTCCCTTGGAATACCGCGGCCTTGGTTCTAGCATCAGCACGAGCTTCAGCTACTTCTGCGCATTCTTTGGAATCAAGCTCTTTATGGATTTCCAGCAGGTGCAAAGCATTTTAGCACTTTTTTTTAGTTTCCTTCTTCTAAAATGCAATTTCACGATCAATTTCTCTTCATTTCTGTTTCTTGTGCGTGTGTGTGTGTGTATGTGTTTATTTTTACTTTATTTTGCAATTTTAGTTCCATTTTGAGCGAAAATAAATTTCAAGTATAAACAATTATAAACAAAATATTAACATTTCCTGGAGGGTGGGAAAATTCAATTTGGCAAAACGTCGAATGTCAAGTTTATATAAATATGTACGCTGTTAAAATATTATTAAAATACCGAGATGCACACGTGACACACACACACACACACACACACAAATTTAAGTTATACATAAATTTAAAAGATACGACTTTCTTTGATTTCAGAGTCTCGGTTTACACGGAGCTTTTTGGTTTTATGCGGCAATGGCGGTTTGCGGATTGTGCTTCGTAGTTTGCTGCGTGCCCGAGACGAAGGGCAAGCAACTGGACGAAATGAATCCAAATTACGCGCAAACGCGGTAGTATAAGGCCTCGCTGACGGGAGGTCTCTCGAACTTGGAAAAGGCAAACAGGCCTTTGCCAGGAAGTGCTTATCCGAACGAGCACGATGTGCGAGACTTCCGCCGCGGTAATAATAATAATAATCCGTCAATTGCGACCGCTTGCGCCCAACGAATAACATCAACGCGCGCGGTTCATCGCAAGTTGTCTGATTACTGCGGCATTATCGCGGAGAAGACCAACAAAATAAGCAAAAACGTCGAGAACTTCATGCAATCCCGCGGTTTGTTGCCGCGACGTCGCACAAACGACGAAGCGTTACCGCCGATATCGCGTCCGACGAACGTTCCCAGAATCAACGGCGACGCGATTGGCAACTACCGTTCACAATCCGAGCGTACAACAGTAAGAGAAACTCGTTATCATTATTACGAGAGTCACGAAGAACGATCGCAAAGAAACATAATAACGCAGAACAATCGCACGCTATCCCTCAGTAGAACGTATCCGCGAAGTTCACGCGACAGCGCGCACAGTTACTTTCATCATTCCGACGAGATGGATCATCTCCGACGCTACAGGAGACTTCGCGGAGAATTCGCGGAGGCGGATTACATCGCTATTGACAATTCCGGTCGAGATTTAGCGGGAAGAAGAGATTTATCCAAGCCGACGGAGAGAAACGGCATCATCGATCACGGCACCAGGGATGAGAGACTTTATGACAATTTGTACTCGACTTTGCCGCGTAGTCATAGAACAACCAACAACTTCAAGAATCGAACGCGCGACTTTCCGAACGAACGACACGCGTATCCGAAGAGTCTGCAAGATCTAACAACATTGAAACTCGACGACGATCTCGCGTATCCCGCGTCAAGTAGCCGCGATACCGATTACCGTCGGGATCAGGGAATCGATGACAATTATTGTCGACGTATTGGGAATCAATGGGAAGAGGACGAGATGTCATACGACGACGATTATCTCAGACTCTGCAGAAATCTATCGAATCTCGACAATTATCCGCGAGGTAAGAGATACGAACCGGGTCAGGTGCATTACGAAAGAGAGTGCAGGACTTTTGGCAAAGACACCGTCGCCTTCATTTACTATAAGACGTGCTATTTATGATGTAAAACGGAAAGACGCGACCTAACGAACCGTGTGTGGAACGGAAGCTTTCTCATTGACAGATCGATTTATAGATCGGTTTTACAATCTCACGCGTAAGTATGTAAAAACAAAAAAAAATGTACATACACCCCCCACATCTTTTTGACGCGATAATACAACATATCTTACAATTAGATCGAAAGAACAACAAATGTTTGTAGGAAGAAAAGAGAAATCATCCGTACAGGAAAGAAACAAAAATGATCGATCATATCTAAAAGTCACGAATAAGTCTTTGGCTTTGTTAAATTAAATCGATTTTTTAATTGATAATAACACACAACTAACACTACGTAAAAAAAAAAATGTGACTGTTATCGGTGAAAAACTGATTTAAGTGACTAAAGCAATATATAAATACAATTTGTGATTTTGCAACATCCATATATATATATACAATATATACACATATAAATGTATATATGATGTATATACAAAATATATGTGTGAATTTATGAATATACACACATCTCGCTTTATATATTGTTGCTGTTCCGACGTAAAATCTCTAAAAAAAAAAAAACAAAGCGTGATATCTCTCTCAAAAAAAAAAAAAGAAAAAAAACAATTCAAAATTAGATTAATTTTTTACTTTATACACGGCATGAAAAAACTTTTCGGGTCTTATCTTCTATATCTAAGTATTCGAAAAGATATCTCGTATAATATCTCGTATCCGAAGTATTTTTTAAGAAACGTAAATAAAATACACGTAAAATATGTAATACGAAAAACAAAAAACTAAAAAAAAAAAAAAAAAAAAAACGTGGCACTCGACAATGGTACCAAATAATACTCGTAATATAATATTATCATTCAACTTAGATATAAAATTGCGTAAATAATAGAATTGTATAAATTATAAAATTTATACACGCCAGTATTATCCGCTTTTGTGTTTTCCGGAGATATCATGGCTTTCTACTTTGCCAATATAATTTGGGAAAAAATCGCGTGCTAAGTAAAATTTCTGACAATATTCGAAAAGTTCGTTTAAAATCAAGAGACAATACTTACAGTTAGTATATATATACTGTATATATATATATATACACAGGATATCCCAATTTAAAATCTTTCGACGCGATTATTTTTTGTAGAATCCGTTAACAGAGAGAAGAGCATAATAATAATATACCAAAATAAACAAAAAAAGCTTAATATTCTTTAAAATATATAGATAACAATATAGATATACTGCCAACTAGACTGCCGAGTTAAAAACATTTTTCTGTCAAGTAGTTTCGATGGAAAAGAACTTGCAATAAGTTCTGACGCGCGCTATAATTCTCTCTCAAGCTACATATTGCTTCTCAACATATATATTCCTTTCCAAAGAGAATATATATCCAAATATTTTAAGATAAAATGATTCAAGTAACGTGTTACACACCGTTCCAACTTGTTTTGCGCGTGCTGCGCGAATAATTATCATAAACAAAAGTTGTGTGCGACACACAAACACACCTATAGTGCGTGCAGTTAAAATCAAAATACGCGTTCCACTATTAAAATCAGAATATCAAAGTAATTCGCGTAGTAGCAACTGTGACGTCAATGATTTAATCAAGACAATATCGATTTGTAGATACGTTTATACATATGCGCTATGTTTTGTGTAAGATGCGCGTGTGTGTATACACACACGCACACACACATATTATATACTGAATACACGTATAATTCTATCGTATCTTTATAGAATTTATGCGCAATCAGTCGCGGTAAGAAAAATAAAACAAAAAATGAACAAATTCTCGACAATACTTATTAAATCGCTAATTTAGCGACGCTGATAGAGCGACACTCGGTACTATTAGCTTGTTAGAGCAAGAAATTGTGAGCGTAATAACTCGTTGTGTGGAAGCAAACTAGATATTGAAAAAAAATGTGTGCGAAAAAAAAAAACGAGTTCGCGTGATTTGTAATTTGTAATAATCCATACTTTTTAAGTAAATCTCTGCGTTTCTCCGATACTATTCTCAAAGAATAACGTAGCAAATGTCGTATGCTGCAAAATAGCGGTCGTATACGATTGTAGACAGAGGTTTTCGTACTTATGTATGCGTATTTTGTATTTTTATATAGTTTGTAGAACGGTACGTCTTTCTCTCAAGAAGATAAGATTTTACGTGTCGAGACAAGTATCTCGTATATAGAAGACGGCTACATTTTTGCGGATCACACAGTTTTACATCTGTGATGAACTAAATATAGTTCTCGTCGAGAAAGATTTTCCTAAAATACCTTTAATATTATATAGAATTGAGAATAAATAATAAAAAAGAAGAGAAAGACAGAAAGAAGAGAGAGAGAGAGAAAAAAAGAACAAAAAAAAAAAAAGAAAAAAAAAAAAGAATGCTAACGCATTATAGAAGAAAATCTTTCTTTGCATGAATTTTTAATAGAACTTTTTATATATCTGTAAGTATATAAAACTATATTCTTAGCGAGTCATATCTTTGACATATCCAATATCGCAATGTGCATGAAAACAATTAACTATTTTTGTACTTAACTATTTTTGTGCATTACTTTACATAGATAGAATCGATTTTCGTGAGAAGAAAAAATTATTAACACAATTATAAAAACTAATAAATTTATATATATGTTAAAAATGTAAGATTTAAATTATATCAATTACTTTGTGTTTACGAAACTATGTTTTTACACAACAAACAGAGAGAAAAAATTTTTATCTTTCAGTACAATAAGATATATATACATATATATACATGCATTAGTTAATGTATATAATAATATGTAATAGTGAAATGCTCAAAGTGTCACACCAGAAATTTTACGACACAACTTTTTGTGTGTGTCCTTTTTAGAAACTTTAAAAAAAAAAAAAAAAAAAGAACTACAAAATCTTTATTTGACGTTTAGATTTTTAAGATCCGACACACGACTTAATCTTATTCGACGAAGAAAAATAGGTTTTAACAAACAAACAAAAAATCTACCTGCATTTGAAAAATTATTCCCTCAGTAATAATATGTATTCTAGCATACGTCACTCTTGTGACACGTATTTCTATCGACAACTTAGGAGAGAAGTTTACAAGACATAAGATTGTTCATATTTATTACAAGAAGAATAACGACTTATATTACGTGAGATAATGCAATTGACATTTATTTACTGATATATATATATATATATATATATATATATATATA